TTGACTACAATTCCTAGGATTCCTGACCAGGCTGGTTAATGGGAGGTGAAACCCAAAGTATCTAGAAAGCACTGTACTGGGGAAACAGCTCTACACTAACTGGTTCTCTGAGATTTTAGGCAGATATTTTCCCTGTCCCTGTCTGGAGATGTCAGGATTGACTCTGGAAAGTTTTGTATGCATAAGCTGTGCTCTACCATGGAGTTACTGCCCTTTGCCAAAGAAGGAAGACTACCAGTGGCTACTAATCATGATGGCTATATATTACCTCCAGTATCAGAGGGGCTGTGCTTTTTGTATGTCAGTTACTCGGGAATGTGAATCAGTTGTGTTCATGTCCTGCTGGTGGGCTGCTGGTTGGTTGGCTCAAGCATGGCTCTTGCATTTTTATTAAGTGCAAGAAAAGTAGTAAATAAATAAATATAATAAGGATGGGTCTTATTGTGATCACAATAAGAATGCTGTTGATATTACACAATTTAGTGTATTTATTTAAATATTTCTATTCCACCATCTATTGTGAGACTGTGGAAGGGGTAGACAATTAAAACAACAGAAACAGTTTAAACAGTTCAAAATAGAATCATAGAATCATAGAATCATAGAGTTGAAAGAGACCACAAGGGCCATCCAGTCCAACCCCCTGCCATGCAGGAACTCCCAATCAAAGCATCCATGACAGATGGCCATCCAGCCTCTGCTTAAAGACCTCCAGGGAAGGAGACTCCACTACTCTCCTGGGGAGTGTGTTCCACTGTCGAACCGCCCTTACTGTCAGGAAGTTCCTCCTAATGTTGAGGTGGAATCCCTTTTCTTGCAGCTTGCATCCATTGTTTCGGGTCCTAGTCTCTGGAGCAGCAGAAAACAAGCTTGTTCCCTCCTCGATATGACATCCCTTCAAATATTTAAACACGGCTATCATATCACCTCATACATAACATAATAATTTAAATAGGATAAAAGGTATATTAAATAAATTATCAGAGCTGAAATTTATGAGTAGATAGGTGAAGGGGATTGTATTGCAAACAACCTTTGACTTTGATGTGCATTTTTAAAGTTATCCAAAGTTATCAGGAAACACATTCTCTCACTCTAGAATTAGACACATCGGCCTCATTCCCACTTACAAATAAATCAATTTGCAATCCGAATCGATGGATCAGTTTGACAGCGGAGCATGGTTCACACTACATTTGCCCTGATCGCATTTTCTTGTTGTAAAATAACCCACTTGTCGGTCACATTGACTAATGAATCGATTCAAAATGGAGCCTCTTCAGCCGGCCAGCAAATTTAAAGGGCAAATTTAAAAGGTAAATTTAAATTGATTCCGATCCGCATCCCATTCACACTTGCGCTGAATCAATTTATTGCAAAACAAGTGGAAAAAAGAGCGTGTGTTAAATTGGTCTAGCACAGCCTCTGCTCCCCTCACCAAACCGCTTCAGCAATTTGGCTCAGGTATGAACAAGGGTCATTTAAACTGCTTCAAGCTGGTTAGCAAACCAGGTTATAACGTAGTGAGAACGAGGCCAGCGTTTTCCAGAGTGCAGTTTCATGAGAAAGGAAGGGTTTTATAGGACTTTGTGAGAGGATTGTCCCTCAGACAGATAACTGAGCAGCCCATTTTGATGTAACTGACTTGGCTACATTTTTGTGCTCTTGACAAAACTGGATAGGGATGGTCTTGTGTGACTGGTGAAGACTGCATTGGCAATAGCTGCTAAAGCTTCCTCTTAAAAGAAAACAAAAATCAGATCAGCTCTGAACTCTCCCTGGAAGCCAGGATGACCAAAGTGAGGCTGTTGTACTTTGGCCACATCATGAGAAGACATGACTCACTAGAAAAGACAAATAATGTTAAGGAAGGTGGAGGGTAGTAGAAAGAGAGGAAGGGCACATTCTAGCTCAGGGATAGGCAATCTTTTCCCTTTAAGGGCCGAGGGAC